CCGCCGCCACCACCTCCACCGCCACCACCACCACCACCTCCTCCTCCACCGCCACCACCGCCACGAGGCCCACGCCCGAGCCTTCAATCTCCTCCACCGCCACCGCCACTCCTGACTCTGCCTTCGCTCCCATGATCTACCACCACCACTTCCTCCAGCTTCGCTGTAACCCGTTGTGGGATAGATACGTATGCAACATTACATATTTCCCTAAAAAAAAAATTATTATAAAATATATCAATCTCGTGAGTTGTTTACATTTCAATAAAAGTAACAATTGAAAATAAAAATATATGTATTATTAGTTAATGAAGGATTGGCCTAAGTGCCTATAATAGTCACATTCATACTGAATACTTGAATGAGGAAATTGGCTTTCCGATGTGATTTTATGTAATTTACTTTTACATGTAATAAATAAAATTATGCCTTGTGTGTATCAAATTGGTCATGTAATTGTGCTGTGCTAATAGTTTCTCGCGGTGGAACACATATATTGTATGTTGATTTCAAAAGTATAACGTTACAATATCAACGTATATGTTCGATTTTCTATTCAGCATCTTTCGAGACTATTGTTAATATAGATCATCATTGAGTATCCTTAATAACCACAATATTAAGGCTTCTGGTAAATATTGGTGCTTTGTACAAGTGTAATAAGCAGAATAATGTTAAAAAATAACCAATTAGATTATTATTAAATATCAATGACTCCAAGTTAGATTTCTTAATAGATATATATATATATATATATACACAATAATTTCACAAAATCACTTAAAATTATTTTCCTTTTCAATAGCGAACTAGTACAACGTCTGTGAAATACACGGGTGTTCGATTAAAAAAAATTAATTTTGCAACTAGAATTCAAAACAAAAAATATATATATTTTCTTATCATGAAATAAAAATTATAAATAATTATTATGAAAGTAAAAGAATTTGTCGTATCATTTCGAATTCCTATTGTTTATTTTACTTAATTAAGATATATTCATTTGTATCAAAATTAAATATAATAATGCCAATGAATAACATAGATACTTGAAAAAACATATTAGTATCAAAGATACATGTAAAGGATATTGTTATAATAGAATGATAAAATTTTAAATATATACACAAATATATTTTTTTCTCCACAACACTATCTTGGCCTGGGACACATTCCTTCGCCTTGGAACAACTCAATTGTTTGATTTTGAATTAATTTATGTAGTTTACTTTCTCCCTTTATTATATTTTTAAGTTTTTTTTTTTTTTCCTTTTCTCAAAACGATAGAACTCATTACTAATAACACATAACTATAATCGGCCCAGAACTGAAAGGGGGAAGCCTACGGTAGCTTAAATACCACAATACTGCACTACAAACACACAAAAGTCTATGTTTGTAAGTTTTAGCAGAGTACGGAATAAATCCCCACCTCGGGTCGTCTTCTCGAAGGAAGGTTGTTCGGAGATTCGTTCACTATCGAGTCGTCAAGTCACATAACCGAAATAAGGTCATAAACATGCTATTCACTTGATTGAGTGTGAAATTAAGCTAATTTGCCTTAAAAATTGAAATCACTTGAAAGCAATTAAAGAAGATGGGATTTTGAGAGAAAATATTTGAACTTCGGTAGCACGGAGTCTCCATAACTTAAGAAAATGAAAGTAAACAAAGAGAAACATGTTGGCTAAGTGATTCTAGGAAGATAAACCGAGCCTTCTTAACTAAATCATCTCGCTTTAAGCACCATCAAGACCTTTATACAAGATAATAAGCACGAAATTGACCCCTAACACACTTAAGCAAGCAAGAAAAACAAAGGAAAGTCTTAAAATCGAACATCAGACAAGATTCCGATCAATAAACCTACTTAACAAGCAAGAAGGAAACAAACTCGAAGTAATAAGCCCTAATCAAGGTACTTACTCTTCTATCGCAAGATCGGATGAAATGATGCGTAAAGATCGAATCTTGGACAAAAATAAAGTCGCCGGAATTTCGCCAAAAAAATTGAGTCATGGACCTCCTAAGGCCAGAGAGAACAAATAAAAAAAGAGAGAATTTCCCAACTAAAAATGTGGGAAATGAGGATAGTGTTAAAAAATACAAAGCAAGATGTCTATTTATAGCTACACACAAAACACACATTAAAACACACACATTTAATGAATATACGATTCAGACCATGGGCGAAAATTTTCGCCCAGCGAAAAGGTGCAGTCCGCCTGCTTGCCCTAGGGAGAGCTCTCGTCCGCCCGGCGAAATGGGGTGCAGTCCGCCTGGGCCAAATAACTCGCCCATTTTTTCCTGGGCGCGTGCTTTCTCGGGCGTGTGGGCGCGCGTAAGCGCAGGCAAGCACCCGGGGGCGCTGACATGCGCGCGGCGCGGGTGCGCTGGGGCTCTGGCATGGGTGTGCAGGCGTGGCGCAGGCGCATGACTCGGACCTCGATTTCTCTTCTGCACGACTCGAGTGGTTCGGATAATGTCTCAGGTCGGCTTGGTCGGCTCAGTTGACTCGAACTGCTCGGTCGGCTCGGTCAGCTCGTACGGCTCAGACGACTCCTCTTCCCAAGCTTTGCAATAATGGACATATTCAACACCAAAAAACAAAAAAAGAAAAAGAAAAAAAATTACGGCAAAGCACAAAAACACAAAACGAGAGCAGAAATACACAAATCACGTTAAAACGAACCGGTCAACACTAAATAGAACCTAAAAAAGACTCAACTAAAGCACATAAAACACACGAATCTAAGAACAAAAATACAATAAACAGGCTCCGCAACGAAAGAATACACATTCCCTAATGGGAGAATAGACACTCCAAAACTGAAGAAAAAAAGGCAGACGCACGCTTACAGCATAAACAAACAAGACAAACAAAAAATAAAAAATACAATAATAAGTTGAATCATGCCCTTCCACAACAGCGAAACCAAACGAAATCAAAATGACGTCGACACCCACAAGCAATCACCCACAAGGAAAAAGACCCAGTCCAAGTCGCAAAACAAGAAACAACAGAATACACCCCTAACTAGATTCGAGGCTCGAAAACCTTGCCCTGCCCGGGTACACAACCCGTAGCCCCAGAACCGGAGATTAATAACAAGCTCCCCCATCCCAGCCCCAACGACCCGAGCCCAGAACACGAGACCCGACCCCGACTTGACTCCGCCCAAGTAAATAGACAGCCCAGAAGCAGAGAAATCGGGAGAATGATGGAAGCAGAACGGCCCGATCTCAGCCCGACCACCTCTAAAGAGTTGATCGAAGCCACAACCTTGAGATGCATTCTCGCCGGAAATTCGCCAGGGAACCGCCAGCCAAAACCTTCCTTCACTCGAGAAGAGGAAGCAGCCACCCGACAAGCCTACGAAATCGACCACACGACCCGGTGGTGTTCGCCGCCGAGATGGCCTGGAGAGGCCTTGCAGGTGAAGGCTCGCTGGCCGGTCGGAGGAGGTTCTTGGATTTGGGGCTTTTCTTCGAGGAGAGAGAGAGAATTTTATAAGGGTCTTTGGATGTGTATCATGTTCCTACATTAAGTTTCTATATCAAGTGTTTTAGGGCCAATGCCAAAAGTAGGATGGTGGCATTTTTATAATAAAAATTAACAATCAATGTCTAGCGTAAAACACGTTGTCAGAATTGGATACAAAAAATCATGTTGCACAACTATCTATATGGGGTACAAAAGAGTCGAATATTGAATTTTTTTTTTTTTTTTTTAATATGCAACTAAATAACTAGATATAGAAAGATAATTAATTAGACATAAACTATGCACAATTTTGATATCTAGTTTACAAGAATTCCTTCTTCGACAATCACCCCCAACCCTAGCTACATTATCGATATAGTCTCCACTCGCCAGTTTTCTCTATCCGCCTCATCGCCCTCGTTCCCAACCGTCTGTTGCCCACCCTATCTTCACTTTCGATGGTGCATGTTGATACCTAATCTGGCACCGCTATAAATAAGTTACACGTGGCATCAAAATCATTAAAAAAAAGTTTCTAAGTATCAAGATTATGACAAGATTAGTCGGATCCCAACAATTCATCCCACTCTGAAGTAGAGGTCGGACTGTATACAAAACCAAAAACAGACAACCACATTCAAACGTATTACCCATATCGTGATATGAGAAGAACGATCCGATCTCCTGAAGGTCAGACTCTGACAGAACATTAAATGCAAACAACATGTGTCAGCGACCTCATGGACAAGCAATCGACTAACATGGGATCCACTGGGCGGTTCTGCACCGAATAATCATACTTGTAACATGCCAACCTCGAAGATCATGTTCGTGGGTTTCATAGTAAAAATACTAGTCAATAATTGTACAAAAAAAGAGAGATGGATTTTCTGAAATGCAACTTTTGCCATTATTCTACAATATTCTCAATCAAACTCTGAACATAAATTCTCAGGGTCCGAACTATTTCATAGATAAAACACGAGAAAGTCCGACCTCGCATTATTGAACTTCCCACTTTATTTCATCTTTTTTCATGGCATATTTGCAGAGTTGATTATATAATCGTGTTATAATCCACACAAAACTCAACATTAAATTATCCTTAAACTTAGGAGATTTCTCTAACCCCTTGTTGCATAAATTGCATAACAACTGTTCGGCGCTGTAAGAAGGGCCCATCGTTTTTTTTGGAGCAATTTTGGACATGAAACACCACATAAAGCTCAAATCATGTCATCACAGTCAAGCCTCTATGTATATTTATTATGTACACCTCTATGTATATTTATTATGAACTTGTAGCATTTTTCTTTTTAATTTGTTCAGATATTCACAAAAAAGTACTCGCAACTGAAAAGTTGTGCCGAGTCAACTTATGAATTGAACAAAGAACTGCCAAGTCCACTAAAATCTCTCGCCACTAAAAGCTCTCGCCGCAATCACTGAAAAGTTCTCGCCACTAAAAGCTCGAATTCTGGAGAAAAAAACCATGAATGGAATATGTGAAAACAATTTTTTTTAACTATTCTAAATTATTAGATAATTTACGAGGAATCAAAATAGTATTAGTACTTTGTTGAGAACACAAAATGATATGTGAAGCTCGATGATGGAGACTGGAGGTAAATGAGGGTCGTCGATTAAAA